ATGTGGCATGTCTACAGTCCCCTTTAAATTCCAACTCTAGCCTGTAAAATTTATCCTATTGTGTCAGAGATATAGATTTGACTGGTGTGTTTGTGAGCTGGCTGAGGCTAACAACCAACAGTCACATTTATTGCTACGCCCGCGATCTTTGTCTTCGCGCGCCACATCTGCTGGCGTCGTCACACGCTGAATTTTAAAGTGCCCGAGTTTGAGTGCGAGTTTGCAAGTCTGTACGTGCAGTAAGTCTTGCTCATGTACACGAGCATCTGAGGCAGGGGTTCCGCCCCGACAGCATCGACTTCCCGCCGGACACTCCCAGAAGCCAGTATTCTCTGATGTCTGGCAATGCCATGGCCGTGCCAGTTATTGGAGCCTGTCTACTCTCCGTGGCTTGGCGCTAGCTTGCGTTCAGTCGCAGCAGTAGTTTGCTAGCCTGTGCACTGCCGGCCAGCTGCTGTGATGCTAGGTGCTTATGGTCTGCGGGCTTCGCGAGGAGCACCAGTACCCCCTGCTTCATGAAAACGCGGCTGCGCGTGCCGCAGCTATTGCTTCGGCTGAGGATGGTTCTGAGTCCTCGTCCGAGAGTGAGTTGTGAATCAGTGGATTCATGCATGTTATGCATGTTCTGCTGGCTCGGGGTGGGTGCTGTCACGAAGTGCCAGGAACCTGCCATTTCTTGCCCGCAAGCAACACGAGGGTCACGAGTTGAAGTCTGGAATTCGGAATTCAGGCGTAGACGGTGAAGATTTCAGGGCGCACAGGATCACGTTCGGAATTCAGGTGTAGGCGGTGTACATTCCAGAGCTTGCAGGGCCATGTCATGTAATGCCGTAGCCGTAGACATACTATACTCCGTGTTCGGTAGTCTGAGTAGTCTGTTTATGGCCAATGTCCAGCGGTTCAGGTCAGTCCCTCAGTCCAGGGTTGTTAATGTGGGATTGTGTTTGGGTTTCCAGGCGTATCATACTTGTCCATTTTGAGTAGGCTGATGTTGCTAGCGGGCTTGCGGCTTGATAAGGTGCACTATTTTGCCGCCAGAGGCGCGCAAGCAGTGGAGCAGACTGTCAGTTCGCCCAGAAAAAAAGACGGAATTCCAAGCCCGCAGCAGAAGGCAACCCCTCAGCGAGGTGATCATGAGCTACAAGATTTCCCATTTTGTTCATTTTTTTCGTAATCCGAGTTGCCTCTAATCAGACATTTGCAGCCACCTATCCACGGACAATTTGCTGCGTGATTCGGTCCGGAGAGGCTCTTTTCGGGCAGCAGATCCGCAGAAATCCCTCTCAGATGTTTTTTTTAGCAAACCGTTTCGGCACCGATTCAGGTAGTCGAAAAAACACGATAGCGCTCAAAAGCGGGTAGTGTTAAGCTTTCGCGGGGTTTCCCAAGGTCTAAGTTGTTCGAGGCGACGTTGTGGCCTGCTATGTTTTGTTCCTTGCTGGCCTTGGGTTCTTGAAGGCCGCGAAAAGGTTAGGGTGTAATGGTTAGGATTCGAGTTTTGTTTGAGGATTTTTTGTGCTTAGAGTTTACGGTATAGGGTTGTTTAAAATAGTGGGATGGATGTTGTAATTTCTCTGACAATCCCTAGGCCCTAAACCCAACCCCGGAGCTCTTAACCCTCATCTCGGAACTCCCACAGCCAGAGGCCCTAATCCCAACACCCTAAGCCCCTAAACCTTAAACAGTAAAGGCTAGGGGTTTAGGACCCGAATCCCAACACCTTACCCAACACCCAAAACCCAGCAAGGATTTTCCGCGCCCCGGATCTCTTTGCTGGAGTTCTGTGAGGCTGTGTTTCGTGCAGGGCCAGGCACGACTTGCCTTTGCGTGGGGTTAAGGGATTAGGGATTAGGGTTTAGGGCTTAGGGTTGAGGGCTTCGTGTTTAGGGTTCTGGGTCGGGGGTTCGGCGTTTGGGTCTCCTGGTTTGAGTGCAGGGTTTAGCCATTTTTCATCTTTGTAATAGAAATAATTAGAAGACCTTATGCCAGGGTATGCATATGGTGAGTCCCGCTCTGAAATGTCCTTCAAAACCTTCAAACAAGACATAGGAGTTTTTGGCTTCGACTTTAAGACTTCAATGTATACGGGCCTCCAAAATATTTGCTAATTTTTGGTTACCACAATCCCAATAACAACCAAAAAAACATACTCTTTAGAGGGGTTCTGAGGCCAGTTTAGTAAAGTTGTTGGAGGAAATCTGAAATCTTGCACGGTGTAGGGTCCCTTGATTTCTGTCATCCCAAAACCTCAGACCCTAAGCTTTAAACCCCAAACCCTAAACTTAGAAACCCTGAGCCCTACAGGTTAACTCCTAAACCCCAAGCTCTAAATCAGAAAAAATAGACCTTGAACCCTAAACCCTAAACCCTACACCCCAAACCCTGAAACCAAAACCCTTCGGCTTAAGGGACCTTGGAGTGGTACAGGGTTCCTCTACGCTTAGTTTCTGGAGATGCAGTTGATTGCATTGCATATGGGTTGCATATTGGTTATAGAGTTTAGGGTATAGGGTTTAGGGTTTGGAGTTGAGGGTTTTTGGGTTTAGAGTTTAGTTTCTGGATTTGCTGTTGATTGCGTTCCATATTGAGGTTATATGATAGCTGCGGTATATATTGGAATTGAATTGTATAGGGAGAATGGAAAAGAAAATGGAGACTCTATTCAGGGCTTAGGGTTTGGGGTTTAGGGTTTACGGCTTCGGAATCCCTGCAACTGTGAAAGTCAACCAATATCTCCATGTAAGCCCGAAGCCTTACACGCAGATTTGGCTTGTTGTGCTTGCGGTCCAAGAGCCTTGCTTGGGCGAGTAGAGAGGATAGCTTAGGGTTTAGGGTTTAGGGTTTAGCGTTTAGGGTGATAGGGTGATAGGGTTCAAAATTTGAGGGTTTCCATCGTACCAACAAAACATAAAAAGCCCAAGCAACCTTCTTTCTAAATAGGCAGCGGGTTCGGGAGAATGCCTGATGCTGAATTGGGAATGTCCGGACTAGTTGGAATATTCGGTAGAGCAGTAGGGCCCCTGATTTTTTCGTCAAAGGTAGTGTTGTTCACTGCACCATGGCAAGTATAGCTTAATAAACCCAAACCCTCAACCGTGTGGTTATTGAGGCGGAGGAATTCGCTGTAGTAGTTGCGTGCCTCATAGCAAATTGAGGCTCCACTGATGTACCTTCGAAAGATCTCATGCTTCATGTTCCCTCAGCGGTCGGGTTTGCATGCTTGCATGCCTCTGCGGCTCTCAGCATCTTCGTACATTACGGTCCTAGGTATCTTGGCCTTCAAGAACAGAAGTGTGGCATTGAACATCCATCATCAATCATCCTCGTCATATTCTAAGGTGGGGTAGCCCAATCAAGATGTAGTGCCGCGAGTTTCCTCCAGAGTGTCTTGATTCCCCTTTTTTGAAGTGTTGCAGGCATGCTGAACGAAAGCGTACCACCGCCGGATATGGCTTGCTTGGATGCGAGCTGCGGTGATGAGGTCAACATTTCGATCGACGAGTTGTTCAACAATCCTCCGATCCTAATGCAGCAAATAGGTATGCTATGGCAGATACTATAAAGAAAGAAATGTAAGATCATACCTCGATTTGAACATGGTGCTTTATGAGAATGCTGTCATCAGAGTTGAGTCAACCAAAATCCTACCTGCAGAAATGCCCGACAAACCCACGGGCCAACCTTCAACTCCTTTGCCAATCCCAAGGCCGAATCTACATTGGGCATGTTAGGATTAAAGGACCGTAATGGGGTCGACGAACAGGGAACCCCAAGAATATGGTAGGAAATCAATAGGAATACACCTAGCAGGGTCCCTGTGTTGCTTTCTGTTCTCTCATACTCCTCCTATATTCTTGCGGTTTTGTGATTGGGGTCCCCATTAAAGTCCTTTTAAGGATACCACCTCCTCCTCATGATGACAATGTGGCAGAAACGCAGGCATCTAAATTGATTTGGAAGCTCCTTTCTTTCATGTGGGTGGTTGTTAGGGTTTAGGGTTTAGGGTTTTGTCAAAATTGTGAGCCCCTTTTGGGTGCCCTAAAGATTAGGTGCCGCATTATAATAGGGATCCAAAAAGGGACCATCATTTTGACAACCACCCATGTGTGTCCTTCCCCAAGCCCCAAATCCAACAAAATGACCAGAAGCATCTTGAACCTCAAACCCTAAACCCCAAACCCTCTAAACCCTAAACCCCAAACCCTCTAAACCCTAAACTCTAAACCCCAAACCCCAAACCCTAAACCCTACCTTGATATTAAAGGTGGGCATTGAAGAAGACCTGGAGCAAGGTTCCGAGGATTCTACGAACAGCTTGATTCGAAGCTGGGTCTCTTTGTGCACGGTTTTCAAGGGGCTTTATTATATGGATGTGTGCATATGTTTACGGTAGATAGAATACAGGGTATATGGGGATCTTATTATAATATGCCCGAAGCCATATTCTATTTACTTAAGGGGAACATATGTATGCAGGACCTTTATACTCTGTTTGGCGATGCTCTAGGCAAGCTCAGCCACGGAGAAGTAAAAGCCCAAGCATTCTCTGCAAAACAAAATCATCTCTAGAAAACAAGATGTCGCGCGTAAGGCGTGGCACTTACTGGTTTTTACCGGCCAAGAAGTTTCCCAGGTGATAGCCACAGTGCTGACCCCCCCAAAATGAAATTCATAGCATTTAGCAAGCAAAATCCGGTACAATGGAAACTTGAAGCTTTAAATCCGTACCCCTAAACTTAACCCTCAACCCTCTGTTCAAACTACCTGCACGCTATGGCTGGGGGGGCACCCTGGGCTACTCATTCATTCCCCTGATTTCTCTTTTAGGGGATCAATGTACCACCAAGGCGCTAGATCCTAAAGACCCTAGACCCTAAACCCTGTAAACCCTAAAGACTGGGTTGCTGTTAAGGAACTTAAATTAAGTTACCATAATGGGTATATATGTATATAGTAATTTATAGGGTTTCCCCAATATAGTACCCTAAACCCTAAACCCTATACCCTAAACTCTACATAATACCCCAATATACAGTAACTTAATTTAAGTTCCTTAACAGCAACCCAGAAGACCTAAGGAGTCGTCCTTCAGCTGGTGTTTGGAAGATACCCGGCACCTCTGTCTCTGAAGTCCCAAGTAGCTGTTGAAAAGGGTTCCTTGATGCTCGCATGCTTTCAGCAGCGCTTTTGCGGGTGCTTCAGGATGGTCATGCAGAGAGTTTAGGGTTTAGGGCTGTTGAGTTTATAAAAGTTTAGGGTTAGGGTTTAGGAGTCACGGACTTTTTGGGTATGCAGAGGAATGTTTAGATCAGTGATGATGTTCGCAGAGAGCTACCTGGTAGAACTTCTAGTAGTCCTCGTGGTGACAGGACAATGGCCGAACGCAAAACCTTGACTTGGCATCCCTAATCTTGATTCCGAATCCTGAAGGTTTCAGGGCTGTGTGGGTTGAGGGTTCAGGGTTCAGGATTCAGGGTTCAAGGTCGTCGTTGTGTCGGGCTCAGGGTCCTAAACCCTAAACCCTCAACCTTAAGCATACAAAGCAGATACCCTGGCGCAAGCTGGTCCTACCGGAGACCTGCTCTGGAGGAAGTAGGGGAGTAAACACCGTGCCTGAAACAAAATAGGGTTTAGGGTTTAGAGTTTGGGGTTTAGGGTCTAGGGTTTAGGGTTTAGGGTTTACGGTTTAGGGTTATACCCTCATGCCTAAACCCTAAACCTTAACCAAGGATTGAGACTTTTCTGGAGAGCCGGCCAGATCCGCAATTCCATCCTGGGGGATGCTCCGAGTTATAGTTTAGGGTTTTGGGTTCATTGTTATGATCCACACCGTAGACGTCAACCCGAAACTAAAGACAATGGGAACTATTGCTATGTTTTTGAAGGCTTAGGGCTTAGATTTAAACCACTCGCCTCTTACATGAAGTATCCCCATTGTGGTATGTTATCAGATATTTGGAAAACTTTTAAGATACTCTAAACCCGAAACCCTAAACTTCAAACCTTAAACTCTAAACCCTAAAGAGCTTCAATGTTGGGACCCTAACCCCTTTAACCCTCAACGTGCGTGCTCCCATTCGTGAGCGGAGGTGGGTCCTTAGGCAGGGAAAAACCCAAGTCAAAACCAGAGGAGTTGAGGATTGAGGATCTAGGGCTTGGGGTTTTAGGGTGTGGGATTGAGGGCTTAGGATTGAGAGTTTTGCTTTTGTGGTTCTCCTTGGATTTTCATGGGACTTAGGAAGTTATAGCCCTTTTGATGTTATTCAGTGCTGAAATTCATGGCATACCTTTGCCTCCGGACAGATGCGGGATACTGATTTAGGGTTTAAGGTTTCGGGCACAAGTCACGCCCAAAGTGGCAGCAACCTAGACCTTGGGATTTCCAGAATCAGGGCTACCTTTTTGGGGCCCCTCAAATGAGGATTGTAGTATTTTGGGGCTTCTATTGGGGTCCCCGTACTTAGGGAAACCACCATATTCTCTACAGCGCCCCCCGGCCATGATTTGTATTACCTGGTGGATACGGTGGCGTGGAGCAATGGATCCCTATCATGACCCCTTGGAATCTGCACAGATACCCAGCTTAGGTGTTGAGGTTTAAGGTTTAGGGTTTAAGGTTTCGCGTTTCTGGTCTAGGGTATAGGCTTTGGGGTCTGTGATACGGTTGTTAGAGGAACCCTGGCAGTGCCATTCATACCCCATGCCCTGAGAGTCGCAAACTTAGGGGGTCCTAGGTGGTTTAGGGTTTAGGGTAAAGGTTTAGGGTTTACGTTGGGTACTGCCCCCCTCAGTAACAGTTGGATAATAATTATGATAGGGTTATATATAGCCCTTAATAGGACCCCTAATATAGACTGTTACTGGGGAGGGGCAGTACCCAAGGTTTAGGGGTCAGGGTTTAGGGTTTAGGGCTTAGGGCTTAGGGCTTAGGGTTTAGGGCAACATGTCCTCCACCCACCGAAGTACGGACAGTTCTCCTGATAGACCCAAGCCCTGAACCCTAAACCCAAATACTAAACCCTGGAGTCTAAACTCTGAAATCTTAGCCCCAAACCCTAAACACTGAGACCAAACCCTGAACCCAAATAGGGTGTAAGGTTTAGGGCAAAAGATTTAAGATGAGGATATGTGACCACGGAGTCCGTGGAGAAAGAATTCACAAAAAGCGTGGCCCTGCTCAGACAGCGAGTTACCTCTCTTAGGGTTTCCCAGAGGGTCCAAGTACCCAACAATAAGGTCTCTTCAAAAAACTATGTAGGGGTATATCATGCATACCCAATGCTTAGGTACGTGGGTTTTGGGTAATAGTAGTTATAGTACAGCTTTAGGGCAAGTATAGTTAAGTGTTTTTTGCAGGTTTAGGGCTTCGGGCTGTGGGTTTGGGTTAGGGGCTTAGGGTTCACGGAAATGAAATAGTTAAGCACGGATGTATGTGCAGGGGATTTTGGATCATGGCGAAAATTCTACAGCTGAACTTACAGGAGATGATCTTGGCTCTTAATTAGCAGCCCAAAGAGTGAGGGCTTTAGGATAATCTACTGTAAGTTCTTCCCTAAACCCTAAACCCTAAACCCTGTAAGTTCTTCTGTAGCTAATTCTGTTGAGTGGAGGTAGCATCCTGGGTTCCCCTACTACCCCCCTTTGGTTCCCCGTTAGGGTAGGGGGAGCCTCAGGGCCTTTTAGGGTTTAGGGGTTTAGGGTTTAGGGGTTTAGGGTTTAGGGGTTTAGGGTTTAGGGGTTTAGGGTTTAGGGGAGTTTAGGGTTTAGGGTTTAGGGTTCTAGGGGTGGTCGTAGGGGAGCCCATGATGAGGGGAGGTATCATGCCTGGGATCCACTGGGTTTTCACTTAGCAGTTAACCTAAACCCAAAACCCTAAACCCTAAACCCAACACCCTAAACCTTCTTCTGCCTCCTTAGCTTCTTTCGCATCCTTTTCAAAAAGCATGCAGCTGCACAGAGGACCTCGTCTTCAGGGATGTTGGTCTGAGGGTTTAGGGTGTAGGCTTGGGGTTTAGGTTTAGGGTTTAGGGTTTAGGTTTAGGGTTAACCCCAAAGGCTATTAATCTACAATCTGACAGAAACTCTAACTTCTCTCCTACGGCAAATTTCCATTCGCTGGCCTTGTTGCATGTGCGAGTTGGGGCTCAGGGTTTAGGCTTCGATCCCTAAGTAAACCTTAAATCATGAGGGTTTCCAAAGGTCCCTTAAGAGGGCTGGTCGAGGGTTTCAATAGGGATGCGGCAGCTCATTTGGTTCAGAGATCAGGGTTTCCAAGCAGTTAGCGATGCATGTTGGGAGGTCCGCATAGTTAGGATCGTAACGCTTCGGGGTGTCGGAGGATCCGTTGTTGGAAGCCTTTAAACGGAGAAGTTCAGGCATTGCTCGCCACAAGATGGGTGGTGGAAGCATGCGAGTTCCTTCAGCTGGAGCGCAACAGCAAGGACGTAAACGAGCTTTTCCGGGGATGGTTCAAGTCTGATGCGGACCAAGTCAAGGACGCAGTTGGAAGGCACCTTTTCAACATCTACTCAGTGCCTAAGTACCCCAGTAGTACCATTTGTCCCTTTTTGTTTTGGGGTCTCCTTATACTAGCTGAACATTAGGAAGGGCATCTTTACTAGTAAGGGCTTACTGGGCAACCTACTCTAAACCCTAAAACCCTTATTATTGAGGGGCTACGTGGGAGCCTACCCTAAAGCCTAAACCCTAAACCCGAAACCCTAAACCTTAAACCCTAAACCCGCTCATTATCAAGGGGCTACTGGGGAAACTAGGCGCTGCTCTATCTGGGAGTGGTCAAGGCGCCCGTCGACGACCAGCAATGCAAGGCAGGTTGTATAAACGACGTTGGGTTTAGGGTCTAGGGTTTAGGGTTTGTCCATGCGCACCAGGATTACTTTGCGGCATTGTACCTGACAAGTACCATGCCGCAATGATGTGTTCAAGGGTTTAGGGTCTAGGGTAAGAAAACGTATGAGAATTCCGAATAGTATCCCTTATCTAATTCTTGATAGGGGCCCAGCATCCACTACGGATCCCCACATGTTTCTAGGGCGTCTAAGCAACCCCACTTTTGAGAATCCCCACTCTTCAAAACCGGTCCCCAAGGAACGTCTTGAGGGACCTTGAGGTCCCAAAGTACTGGAGTCATCTGAAGACATTAAAGATTCCTTTGCCATGGGTCAAAGCATTTCAACAAAGGGGCCTTGCCAGGCTGACCTCCAAGGGCCTACCAGGGCCCAAAGCCTCTTGGTTTGGCCGCCCCAAATGGTAGTTTCCCTAAATAAGGGGACCCCAATATAGACCCCAAAATACTCTGATCCTTATTACTGGGACCCTTAATAATGGTACCCCTAATTTAGGGAAACCCCCAAATGAGTCTGTGATATGGCCAACCAGTATGCCCTGCACGGGATGCACTCCATGATGCCTTGCTGCTTGACCCTAGGGTTTAGGGTTTAGGGTTTAGGGTTGACCTGACCCCTTGAACCCTGCAAGCAGCAAGCCTTTCACCCTAAACCCTGAATGCCACACCCTGAACTCGGCCTCCTGGTGGTTCCCCAACCCTGCTTTTTCTTGGTAGGCTCAAGGCAACATGGCGTATGTGACCAACAAATGCTGCTTGGACAGCCTTTCGGGATTTAGGGACTTAGGGTTTTGGGGTTTAGAGTGCTCATAGGGATTTAGGGTCTAAGGGTTTGGGTTTAGGGTGCTCAAAGTTTTGGGATTTAGGGTGCTCATAGGGATTTAAGGACTTAGGGTTTGGGTTTTTTTGAGGGTGCTCATAGGGATGTAGGGATTTGGGGTTTGGGGTTCGGGTTCTTAGGGTTTGGGGTTTAGGGTGCTCATAGGGATTTAGGGACTTAGGGTTTGGGGTTTAGGGTGCTCAGAGGTATTTACGGACTTCGGGTTTGGGGTTTAGGGTGCTCATAGGGATTTAGGGACTTAGGTTAAGGGAGTTAGTGTTTGGGGTTTAGGGTTTGGAGTCGTCGGGTTTAGGGTTTCAGGATTTAGGGTTTAAGGATTTAGGGTTTAGGGTTTGGGGTCTTAGGGTTCGGGGTTAGGGATTAAGGGGTTGGGGTGTAGCGATTAGGCTTTAGGGACTTCGTGTTTGTGGTTTAGGGTTTTAGGGTTTTAGGGTTTAGGGACTAATTAGCGGTTTGGGGTGGTCTTAGTGTTTGGGGTCTGGGGTCTTACCGCTTGGGGTTTAGAGTTTACGGATTCAGGTTTTGGGGTTTGAGGTCTTAGGGTTTGGGGTGTAGGGATATGGGGATTAGGGTTCAGGGTTAGGTTTTGGGATTTGGGGTTGGTTTAGGGGGATGGTTCGGAGGGCCCAGCAATCCCCAGTACTCCCACCCACGGTCTGGAACCTCCCCTAAAGCCTGCAACCGTAACTCTAGAGTGTAGGTTCTATAACCCCTAAGTCCTAAACCCTGAAGTCTAAACCCTAAACCCTGAAGTTTAAGCTCTAAACCCTAAACCCTGAAGTTTAAGCTCTAAACCCTAAACCCTGAAGTTTAAACTCTAAACCCTAAACCCTGAAACTCGGATCCCCCAACCCTCAAAGATACAGAGGTCCCATGGGCAACTTGCCTTATCTACAGGCTGGCATCTCCTCGTACATTCTGGTCTCTTATGTTCGTTGATCGTTTTATGTTAGGATTTAGGGTTTCAGACATCAGGCTTTGTTTTTTGGATTTAGGGCCTAGGATTTGGGGATTAGGGTTTGGGGCTTAGGGTCTAGGAACTTTTGGGCTAGGGATTGGGGTTTAGGGTTTTGGGTTTTGGGGTTTTGGGTGTTGGGTTTCGGGTTTGGGGCTTAGGTTTTGGGATGTTAGGGTTGGAACGGGAGATCTCGGAAACAATATCGCTTACCCCAAGACCCAGGCCCTGAACCGTAGACCCTACCTGGAAAGCCTCAGTAGTTACCCACCATCATGGGCCACTTTAGCGGAAAGTGGCAGGAAATTGGGGGAAGGTAGGCAGGGCTACTGACTTTCTAGGCAAACCATTAACCCTCAAACCAAAAGCACCAAAGAATCCGTATTCCGAAATGCTAAACTCCAATGCTTGAGACCACACTCAGCCTTAATCCCGAAAGGCAGAAGCCCCAAATCTAGGCTTCAGACTTGAGGTTTAGGGTTGCCACCCCAAACCTTAAACCCTAAACCCTCAACCCTAAACCCTAAATCCTAAACAACAACTCCTAAACCCTAAACCCTTAAAACCCTTTAAACCCTTTAAACCCTAAACCCTAAACCCTAAGGCTCTAAACAACAACCCCCCAGCAGGATGAGCCCTGTGGCCAGCGTGCCCCAGTGAACGGGGAGAGATTGTATGTGGTTCACGTCTGTCCCGTCGCCTGGAAGGCCCTGGTTTAGGGTTTAGGGTTGTACCCTAAACCCTGAACCTAAACCCAAAATCCCTAAACACTAAATCCCTAAGCCTTAAGCCCTAAACCGCAAATGCTGGACCTAAGGCGTAGGCCTTCTGTTTTTTGAAGACGGATGCTGCCTTTCTGCGGTTTAGGGTTCAGGGTTCAGTGTTTATTTAGGTTTTAGGGCTCAGGGGTTTTCTTCTTCCCCAGCCGTTAAACTACCCTAAGAAGCCTTTGGAAGGAGAGTTCAATGTTCCACGTGGGGAACATCATCCACGAGGCCTCGCACCACTACGGAACCAAGGATCTTGCGTACGGAATCCGGTGCCTGGGCTTTTAGTAAGGGGACTTGAATGGGAACCGCAACATTGGGAACCCCAAGAAGAACCCTAAATCCTATAAACCTTAAACCCTAAACCCTGAACCCTACCAGGGCGCTTCTATTTGTGTTCCCACGCCCTTCTTGGGGTTCCTTGTTTGGGGTGCCCATTACAGTCCTTTCAATTAGCTGTCTAGGGTCCCGAGTTTAGGGTTCAGATTTTAGGGTTTAGGGTTTAGGCAGGCTACAGGTTTAGCTTTCGTATTTCATCTGCATAGCTGCATAAGTGATAGGAGCCTGGAAAGCGTTTGGTGTTTCTCTAAACCCTAAACCCCAAATTTTGAACCCTAAGCCCTAGACCCTGAACCGCAAACCCTAAACCCTGATCTTGAGGTCGAGGCCTCTGGGGCCAGTTCAGGACTGGGTCTTAGAATCTTTCTTCTGCGGTTCTCTCAGAGCTCTGGTTGCTCTCTAAATTCTTGTCGCAGGGAGTCAAATTGCAAAGGTTTAGGGTTTAGGGTTTAGGTTTGAGGGTTTAGGGTTTAGGGTTCGACTTAGTTATCGGGTTCTATTAAATTCAATTCCCACGACGTCCTCGTTCAGGCTTTCTTGTCACTGACCCCACACCCCAAGCTTTTGCAAGGACAGCCCTAAACCTAAACCCTAAACCCTGTTCCTTTTGGGAGGGCATAGGGCTCAAAGCTGTACACACTGAACAGCCTTCTTCAGCATGAATGTTCATTCCAGCTCACTGGCTTTACTTCTGCCCCTACCCAGTAACAGTCTATATTAGGGGTCCTAGTAAGGGCTATATATAACCATATTATCTTTATTATCAAGCTGTTACTGAGGGGGGCAGTACCCAAGCTTTACTGTAGGCGTTGTAAATGTTTGGGTTTCAGGCGTTAAGGTTCAGGGCTTTGGGGATTGAAATGCTAGGTTTTGATTTACGCTAGAAGCCTAAGTGCTAAATCACTAACCCTCAATTCTCTGCCCTAAGTCCTTTTGACCCAAAAACGCAAGTCCTAGACACGAGCCCTGAACCCCAAGTTTGAGGTCATCAAAAGTAGCTGTGTTTCACCCCTCGTATGTGCCCTGATGTTCCCCTTCTGATCTGACCCCCGGTTTTGAGAAGCTCAAAGCCCTAAAGCATAAAACCCTAAACCCCAAATCCCTAAAGCATAAGACCCTAAACCCCAAACCTTCAAACCCTGAAACTCTAAACCCCTAAACCCTACCATCAATCATGGCCGAACCGAGGGGCTGTTTGGAGCTAAGCACCCTTCAGGCTGGTGCCTGTTTGCACCCGACCTTGGAGGGTTTAGGGATTCGGGTGTAGGGTTTCAGTGTTCAGGGATTAGGTTTTAGGGTGTAGGGATTAGGGTTTAGGGGCTTAGGGCTTAGGGCTTAGGGTTTAGGGTTTAAGGATTATAGGGTTTAGGGATTAGGGTTTGCGGTCGAGAGTTTTTGGGAGTAAGGGTTTAGGATTCAGCGTTTAGGGTTTTAGTTTCGTTTTTGGGACTTATGGTCTAGGGTTCAGGGTTTAAGTGTTTAAGCTTTTGGGATTTAGGCTTTAGGATTTGGAGGTGTACGGGGGTTTAGGATTCATGGTTTAGGATTTTAGGTTTTGGGGATTTAGGGTTTAGGTTTCAACATTTAGATTTTAGTGTTTAGGCTTTGCTGTAGCACAACATGGCGAATTACACGGAAAAGAACATGGGACATGAATGGAAACTGGGATTTTACGGTGGTCCATCTCAAGGCTTTTGGCAACCCATTCAACCCAAATAAGCACCCCATGGCTGTCATGTGAATCTCATAGGGTTCCTATCTTTGGGGGTGTGGTTGTCAAGACCTTAAACTCCTATTGCTCCAAGGCTACCTCAGTTTCACTTCGTTGGAACACGCTGGCTTGAGGGTGGTTGTACATAGGGGGTTCCAGTACATGAGTTGCTAGGCCCCCTCTGTGCTTTCTCCGAGAGACCTGACTTCGATCCGTTTCTCAGGAAGTACTTAGAGAGGTTTATTCAGAAGCTAGCGGCGCAGGTGGAACACGTCAAGTTTTCTGTGTGTTGGGGTTGAAGGTTCTTAGGGGGTGTATGGTCTCGGGTTACAAGGGGGTTTCTGGCTTAAACTCTCAACCCTATGCCGTTTGGAGTCCGGATAGGGTTAGCCAACGTACTAGTGCATCAGTTGCAAGGAGTTTCACGATGAGTCTCAAGGAGTTTCATGCTGAGTCTCAGGAGTGCTCAGTTGGGAGTTTGTCAAGATTCGAGGATGATCCCCTGACAGTCGCCCTTGTATCGGTTCCCAGACTAGCCTTGAACCCCCAGAGGGGCCACACAAAGACTACGGAGCCTTTCGGAATGGGGTTCCATCTTAGTCTTGGGGTAGAATAATCCCCACAGCACATAGCCAGTGAACAGGCCTTTCCAAGGCAGATCAATATGTTTACTCTGTCCAAACCCAAACCTTGGACCCTATACCTTCCAGTGAGCAGGCTTTGTCCAACGCGGATCAATACGTGTACTTCGTGCAGCACCTGGTCGCCTTGAAATATCCGGACAAGCTCATGCGAAGCTACAGGGGAGCAGGGAATCTCGGTGGCCACCAGTGTACCGTAGGCTGTAGGGTTTAGGGCTGAGGGAAGCCTGCGTAATTTTCAATGTTAAAGTGTTTTGTAGAGGTAGCGTCAAACACGAAAACCCGAGTCTAATCCAGCCTCTACTTGGGTATTCTCCTACATTGAGACACTTCTGCACCTATACTTGGTACACCGAATGTTTCCACATGGGCGCTGTATCTAAATGTTGGCTCCATTTTGGGGGGTTTTGCAAAGTTTTGCAGTAGCATCGTGGAGCTTTTCAGTGCACATAAGTGTGCGCCAAAAGGGATGCTTCTTGTTTGGGTTACCTGCTGCAAAACATGCACAAAAGTATTACTGTTGATATTAAAAATCCCGCATGACCTTAGTATACTGAAGTGACAGCATTCCAAAAGGTATAAGGTACCTAGGGCCATGCAGGATTTCTAGTCGCCACCATCGGGCGTGCATTTAGGGAAATTCAGATGCTGGCCTTGCTGAGTACTGTGCGGGGGCAAAGGCGCCTTATACAACACAATTGAGTAGTATTTTGTTTGGGAATACGATGGTTCACGATATAGAGCAAGATGATAAATTCCATTCGGGGTATAGTGTTCTACAGTTCTATATAAAGAAAATAATCTTACTAGTTTCAACCACCAATAAAACGCTTCTCAATTGGATAAACCAAACCAAAAACAGATTTCTGGAACATCAAACCCTAAGCCTTACCTAGACCCTCCAATGTAGTACCTTTTTGGTAGTCCTAATAGGAGTCCTAACCAAAAACCATACCAAACCCAAAAAGGAACTACATTGGAGGGTGCAGGTAAGGTCTAGGCTTTAGGGTCCGGGGCTGTGGGTTTAGGGAAGCCCTTACTTGGAGGCCCCTGGGACTCAGTAACTACATATAACTGGGCTTATAACCCTACTTATCATCCAGCCAAAGCCCCGAACTCCAAGGAAAGGAGATCATGTGGCTGACAAAGTCTTCGTGCGCCGGGCCGGATAGACAAAGGGCGCCGTCAATCCGAGCTAAGGTTATAGGGTTGATTCTATGGTCCAGTGGTGTTGAGAAAGCCCCTTTCTCTTTTTGGAGTTTTATTCATTTATAAAAATATCAAAAGGGGGATCTGTCGACTTCTAGGTTACTGGGCATCGCTGTTTTTTTGGGGGAATTATTTAGGGGTAAACCTCTCCCATAATCGCAATCTTGGGAACCATCATTTTTTCATCAGCTACCGTTACTACAGGCTTTAGGGCTTAGGGATCGGAAGCCCAACAGGGAAAGTACTGTAGGGTTGGGGTTAGATCGGTGTACTGTAAGGGCCTAAACAATACCCCAAACCATCAAAGTCCCCAATATGCTCCCCCAACCCTAAACCCGAAATCCCTAAACTTCAATCCCTCAACCCCAAACCTGAATGCTAAACCCTAAACCCAGTAGATTGAGGAAGTGGGGAACATTCATTTCGTAGGATTTAGGAGTGTTGCATACATGGGTGGCTCATGGAATTTCATAGCTATGTATGTAAAGCTGTGGCAAAATGTCATCGCAGTCCCCGGGATGATAAACAGGGTTGCGGGCCCAGAAGCTTTTACTTACTAAATCCAATGAACCTTCAAGTATAGGCCCCCATGTACTCCCTACAATCGTTACTTGGGACTGCAGGAAGGGGCTCATGATGTTGAATAGCCTCCCCCCTTGCTCAAACGGTGCAGGATCTTTTCTTTCAACTGCGCACCCCGCCCAGATGGGAGTAAGCTCTACAATCCTAGACCCTAACCTTACATCCCAAACTTGAAAACCCTAAGCCCCTGTACCTCAGAGCCCGTAATCCTAAACCCTAACCCCCCCCTTCCTCAGGCGACCAGAGGATCAATTACGCAGAGCTGCTTCAAGCGTGTCTCAGCCGCCTGAAATCTAGGATTACTAACCTTCAACCTAAGCCCAAACCCAAAAATTTGCCCCAAACCCTAAACCCGAAATCCTACACCTTGAACCCCCAACACTTGCCCTAAAACTCTCAGTTCTGCATCCTGGACCGAGCCTTCCTCTTGCAATATTGTTTTGGAGGGATTGCTGTGCCTGGAGATACCAGCTGACCATAATTATGGTACACTGCTGTAGGAACCCAGGTTATGGTTCATATGGTCGTTTCCCAAAAAAAGGCGACGTTTAGGGTTTAGGGCTGAAGGTTTAGGGTTCAGGGGTAGATGGTAGTTTCCCTAAATAGGGGGACCCAACATAGACCCCAAATGCTTTAGTCCTTTTCATGGGCACTCCTGAAAAGGTACCCCTTATTTTGGGAAACCCGCATATTCAGTCGACGGAATCTCCAGGTAAGTTTCTGCGACTAAATCCGGGGCTTCTTGTCCTCCTCCAAGTTTGTTGAATACCGCAGATAGAGAGTATCTTAAGAAATTCTAAGGTGCTTCTAAACCCTAATCCCTAAACCTCAAACAGTCTACTGAAGGATGACCGTAAGCAAACGGTGGGGTTCAAGTTATTCAGGCTTCGGCATAGGGTTCTGCTAGGTTCCATATGCAAACACAGATGCTACCCGGCATGTCATATGTTGGGCAGTTACTTGCTTCCTTAAGCCTTTCGTTCATAGGGATTATATGGGGTTATATAGGGATATATATATATATAGAGGGTTTAGGGTTTATGGTCTAAACTCCTTAAAGGTGGGTTATATAGGGAATTACATAGGGGAGTATTATAAGGGTTATTAAGGGGGATACTAGGAGCTTAGACTATAGCTCACATGAGCCATAATCTAAACGCCCAAACCTAAGCACAAGACCTGAGGCCTTTACCTGAAACTCTGAACCCTACGCGGTTTGGGGTCTAGGTTCAGTCAGCCCTAGCAACCTGAACTTTCAGAAAATCGAGCTCTAAATCCAAAAGGCTTCGACTGAACCCAAAACTGCGAATCCGGTCTTTGAGGCCTTTCCTGCATAGCAGAAGAGGGGCACTTCAAAAATGACTGTGAATCCTACATCCTCAACCCTAAGCCTTGAACCCTAAAGTTGAAGCTTTCAACCCTACGTCCTAGACCTTAAAGCCCTAATTCAAGCGTAAACACATCCTAAAGCACACCCCCTTAATCCCCAGCCCTACATCCTACATCTCAAAACCGCAAATCCAAACCCTGAGTCCTGAGTCCTAAATCCTAAGCCCCAATACCCAAATACTGCATCCGCCAGCCGCTGAGGCTATGCGTCCGGCACTGCGACACGGACCGGTGGTGGTCGTCTCATGGGTCCTTAGTTCCGGGGTTTGGATGCGTGTTGTCATAATTGCCGTCCCTTTTTGCGTAACGTCACTAGGTGCCTGGTTGTAAAGGGGATCCAAGAAGCGACCATGATTCAGGGGTTCCGGATGTAGGGTTTAGAGGTTTAACGTTATGGAGTTTAGGATGTAGGCTGTACAGATGTACCATTTGTAGGCTTCAGGTTGTCGGATTTAGGGTTCGGGTTTAGGGTGCAGTGTTTCGGGGCTCAGGATGTAGAACTTGGGGGTTTGGGGACTTACCATTTGAGAGGTTAGGAGTAGGGCTTGTATGGATTCCCCTGCTACCCTCGCTGTACTAACCCCCCTAGGTTCCCCGTAGTGAGGTTTCTCAAGGTAATCAGGGTTTCGCTTGTTGTTTTTTGACAATTGGGCTCATAACCCTAAACCCTAAACTCTGAACGCTTTCCTAAATCCTAAGCTCTAAACCCCAGTACAAACCCAAAGCCCGAAGCCCTATTACAAGCCCTAAGCCTTAAACCTTCTTACAAAACCTAAGCCCTAAACCCTGTCT